TGTCCTCAAGCATAAACTAGGCTCTGTTTTCAACTTTTTGATTTTTTTTGAGACAAGATCTCCATATGAAGCCCAGGTTGGCCTCCAACTCATAATGACCCCACTGCCTAGAGCTAGGATCACCATGCCCAACTGTCTTCAACTTCTTGTTCCCCTCCCCACCAAAAAATACTTTTGAGTTAATTTTTGTGTAAAGGGGAAGGAAGGTAACAGTCAAACATGATTGACTGATTATGTTATCCAACTTTGTTTTATTTGGTACTGGAAGTTGAACTCAAAACCTTGTGTTTGGAAAGCAAGCACTAGTGCCACTGAGTTATATGTATCACCTGTCCTGGTTATCCAATTGCTGCAGTATTTTTAAATTTTTATTTATGTTTTGCACTGGAGATTGAACTCAGGACCTTGGGCTTGCCAGGCAGGCACTTAGGCCGCTGAGCTAAATCCCCAGCCCTACTATTTAATTTGAAGCAGGGTCTTGCTAAATCTATAATTTGCTCAGGTTGTGCTCACACTTTTGATCCTCTACCTCAGCCTTCAAGAGTGATAGGATTACAGGTGTGAGCCACCGCACTTAGCCACTGTAGCTTTTCAATATTGCCTGAAATAATAGAAAGCATCCAACTTTTATTCTTTTCAAAAATGTTGCAGCTATTTAGAGTGTATGTACCCATGTAAATTTTGGTATCAGCTGACTTTTCGTCTTTTTTTTTTTTTTCTTTGTGTGTTTGAGATAGGCCCATTCTGTGTGGTCCAGGTCCTCAGCCTACAGAGTCCCAGGAGTACGGGCTTGTGCCTGTTTGCAGTGGTGTCTTCTCTTTCTGGTCCTACTTCTTTCTTTCTTTTTTTTTTTTTTTTTTTTTTTTTTTGGTCTTTTTCCTTTTTATCGGTACCAGGGATTGAACTCACAACTGCCTTCTTGCAAGCAGGCACTTATGCCGCTGAGCTAAATCTCCAGCCCCTTTCTTTCTTTCTTTTTCTTTCTTTCTTTCTTTCTTTTTTAACCTATTAGGATTTGGTAAGTGTTGGTAACTGAATGTGGATTAATCTGGAGAGAACTGGCATCTTATTTGTATTGAGTCTTATATGTGAGGATGGTATCGTTCCATTTACATAGGTCTTTTTCTCTCACTAACGATTTGTATTTTCAGTTTTAAGTTTTACATATTTTTTTATAATACTGGAGATTGAACATGGGGCCTTTGCACTGAGATACACCCCCAACCCTTTTTTATATTTTACTGTGACACAGAGCCCCACTAAATTACCCAGGCTGAACCTCTACTTCCCAGAGTGCTAAAATTTTGTGTCTTTATTTTTGCCTTATTTATGCTTAAGTTTGTCATATTAGATACATATATTTTTATCTTTTGGAGACAGGGTCTCTCTGCAGTTCGGGCTGGCCTTGGGCTCACTTCATAGCTCAGGCTGGTCTCAGACTTAAAATGATCTTCCTGCCTCAACTTTCCAAGTGCTGGGATTATAAGCATGAGCCACCATGCCCAGCTTTTTAGAAATTAGTTTAGAATTAATTTACCTCATTTGTAGCAGTGATTTCTTGGTTGTGTCTTGTTTGGGGACTTTGTGTGTTTTTTTATTTGTGTCTGTGTGGTTTTTTTTTTTTTTGTCTTTTTCCTTTTTATCGGTACCGGGGATCGAACTTACGACTGCCTGCTTGCATGGCAGGCGCTTATGCTGCTGAGCTAAATCTCCAGCCCCCGTGTGTGTGTGTGTTTTGAGGCAGGGTTTTGCTATGTATTTCAGGATGGCCTTGAACTCACAGTGATTATCCTGTCTCAGCTTCCCAGGTGCTAGGATTATAGGCGTGTGCTGCCATACCTGGCTCTTAGGTTTTTTTGGAGTACTGGGAATCAAACTCATAATCTCAAACTTGCCAGCAGGTGCTGTGCTGTTGGACTATATCCCAGGCCCTCTTGGGTGTATTTTGTTGTTACTATGCTGAGGATTGAACCCAGAACTTCATGTTTCCAAGGCAAGCACTCTACCACTGAGCAATGGTCCGAGCCCTTATAGGTGTTCTGTTGTGTTTTCCTCCTGGGTATATTCTTATGTCAGAACTCATCACCTGTCTGTCCATTTTAATATGTGTAGTTTAAAAAATGTGTATAGTTGATTGTGTGTCAGTTATCTCTCTATAAAGCTATGAAAAAGATAATAAGGAAAAAACTATTATGTTTATCAAAAATTTCCAAGGGTTACAGGGGAGCTTTGTATGAGTAGGGTACTGGGTTCAATTCCCAGCACAGATTACATGTGTGTGGAGGTGGTCAGTAACTTCCCATGACACTTAGAATAAAAACTAAGGTCCCAGTTAGGCTTGGAGACACATGCCTATAATTCTAATAGTTGGGAGGCTGAAGCAGGAGGATTGCAATTTCAAGACCAGCCTGGGCTACATCGTAAGAACTTTCCTCACAACATAAAAGACAAGGGCCTGGGTTTTAGCTCAGTGGCATAAGTACCTGCCTGGCAAACACAAGGTCAGGAGTTTGATCCCTAGTACCAAAAAAGGAGAAAAAAAAAAAAAAAGACAAGAAAAGCCCCGAAGTTCCTTTAGTCTACATGATGGCCTCCAAAGTCGCACAATTTGTTCCTTTCATTGCCAAAAACTACCTTGTCCTGCCTCTTTCTAACTTTATAGTGCTGGAAATTGAACCCAAGTCTTTCAAACTGAGCAATGATTCCAGTCTTATTTTTTATTCTGAGTCAGGTTCTCAGGTTGTCCAAGGCTCAAACTTCCTATCCTCAGCCTTAGCCTTGCCAAGGCTGCAGTGCTCCAGTCACAGGTGTGCACGGCAACACCCAGCTCTTCTTGTCTCTGCTTTTGAAGCTGCCTGTCCTCTCCCACCACAGGGCCTTTGCTTGTCCTGCCTGGTATTCTCTCCGGAACAGTGCAAACAACCACAGAAACTCCCTCCCTTTCCCTGGGTTTCTGTCCAGATGTCACTTGCCCAGGCTATTGTGTCTCACACAGTACCAGTCACCCTTCAAACATTGTCCTGCTTGTTATTTATAACATTGTTGCTCCCTGAGGTCTGATTCTACATGTATAAATTTTCTCTCTTTTTTATTTTGCTGGAGTTACTGGGGATTAAACTCAGGACCTTTGCCCTCAGCTACATTCCCAGGTATTTTTTGACTTTGAGACAGCATCTCACTGAGTCTGTGTGCTATCTGGCTGAATCTGAACCTTCATGCCTCAGTCCCACCGAGTGCTGGGACTACAGGTGTACCCCAACACACCCATTTGAGCACGAGTTTTATCCTCCCCCATGCTACATATGTGTCTGGCATATAAAAGATGGGCAGCGCTTACGGGAATAATGACCAGATGAAATGAGGCCATAACTAGTAAGTGGCAACCATAGCTAACAACCCAGCTCTACTAACAACCCAGCTCTACTAACAACCCAGCTCTACTAACAACCCATCTCTACTAACAGAAACACGTAGAACCTCAGCTGCTGTCTCATGGTTCCTCAACAGCCACCCTGCAAGGTGGGAACTAGTACTCCCTTGATTAGCAGAAGATCCAGAGTTCAGGAAAGGGAAGTAGCTTGCTCCTTGTGTTGCACAATGCATCTGTGACAAGGGTCAGCTGACAGCTGAATGCTGGGTCTGGTGTCAGGTGCAGTCAGAGGCAGACATGACCCCAGCCTGCAGCAGAGAAGCAGGAGGAAGTCTGAGGAGCTGGATGCTGACGGTGCACTGCCACATGTGCAGATCAGCAAGGCTTCAGAGAAAACTAGGTTCCAGCCAATTTTCCAACTGTTTCTTGTGTCTTTTTTTTTTTTTTTTTGTCTTTTTCGTTTTTACCAGTACTGGGGATCGAACTCACGACTGCCTGCTTGCAAGGCAGGCACTTACGCCGCTGAGCTAAATCCCCAGCCCTGTTTCTTGTGTCTACCTCGGCCCAGCTGCCCTGCCAGAATTGTGTGGAGACTGGATGAAATGGCTTCTCATTGAGTTTTTAGAATCATCTGGAAGAAACCTGGGTTTTCCCTGTCTGGCCAGAAATATAAACAAGCCATGCATGGTGGCACCAACCTACAATCCCAGCTCTGAGGAGACTGAGGCAGAAGGATCACTGTGAGTTCAAGGTCAGCCGGCGCTACATAGTGAGAGGCAGTCTCAAAAAAATGAAACAAAACAAACCTCCCTAAAAACACAAAGGAAACAGTAAGATTTGTCCCTGGGTAGACTTGGCAGCCAGACTGCCTTCCTGCAGAATGATCTTAGGCCAGTTATCTAGCTTCTCTGAGCCTCAGTTCCTTCACCTAAATAGATAGAATAAGCAGAATAAGAGAGGTAATGATACAACTATTTGCTGCAGTGCCGCCAACCAACAAATGAAGCTGGTCCAACCCACCCACCCACAGGGCACAGTGTTGACAAGGGAGCTCTTTGGGACCAGCCAGAACTCCAGCCTTCATGCCCTGCGTCTCAAAGCAGATGTGAAAGGTCGCATGCCTGCCCTGCCCTACCCCTAATCCCAAGTGGGACCCAACCGCAGCGTCCTGGTTCGCACGGGACCTGCCTCCATCGAGTCCCCTTTTGTAGCGCAGGTTGAGTTCAAAGTGTGCCGCGTGATCACACCTCCTTCGAGGCGCGTCTGCTCTAAAATGGGCACACGATGGTCAACCACAGAGCAAGGACGATGCTGTCTCCTTGAAGGACAGCTGTGAGGCAGCCAGGACTGCCGTGTCTGTCTCGCCTCCGCTATCAGACTGTGCCCACGTCCCGCGTGGGGCCCTGCTGACTGGCACAGCCAGGCATGCACGGCAGCGGGGCTGCTGATGACCAACCTGGCCCGTGATGGGGGAGAGTGGGGCGCTTCTGTGGCTCTGTGTCCCATGCCGTCCACTTTCATCCTTTCACCCCATTTCACAGAGGAGGAGGCGGAGGCCGTGACCCGCGCACGGCGGGAGCGGGAGGCCGCGCGGGGCGGGGCGGGGCGGGGCGGGGCGGTATAGAAACTGCGCGCGGCGGCGCGGCGGGCCCAGGCGCGGGCCATGGAGGCGGGGAGCAGCTGCTACCAGTTTCGGGTCCTGCTGCTCGGGGACGCGGGGGTGGGCAAGACGGCGCTGCTGCGGCGCTACGTGGCGGGCGCGCCGGGGGCCGCGGAGCCGGAGCCGGAGCCGGGGGCCGAGGCCGAGGCGGAGCCCACGGTGGGCGTCGAGTTCTACAGCCGCGCGCGGCAGCTGCCAGCCGGGCCGCGCGTGAAGCTGCAGCTCTGGGACACCGCGGGCCAGGAGCGCTTCAGGTGCGCGCGCCGGCGGGTGGAGAAAGGGGGCGCCACCGGCCTCCGGGCCACGGGGACCCCTCCCTGGGCGCCAGTCTGGCCCGTGAAGAGGGCTGGGGACCCCCGCCCCGGGTGACGGCTGAGCCGACTCCCTCCCTGCTCTTGTCATACAAATACTGCTGCTGGGTGGCCGAGGCCCTTGGCCTCTGGCGAGCGCTCTGTCACCAACCTGGGCAGCCTCAGCCCCCATGGTCCCAGAGGAACCCAGAGGGGCAGGATTCGCACCCTGCACCCTGAGGGATGAATAGCCTGAGTGTTGGGAGAACCCAGACACACAGCAGGAAGTGTCAGAGGATGTCCCAGGGCCTCCCTGTGACTCCCACTTGCTTCCTAAGGAACAGCACTGGGTCTTCGAGGACAGGCACCAACTGAGGCCAGTTTCATCCCTTGTGGGGCAGAGTGGAAGGCAGGCATAATAGGGTGCAGGGTACTCTATGGAGGGGGAGCGGTGTGTGAGGGGGTGATGAGAAGGTATAGTCTCCCCAATTTACCCTTCTCCAGGTGCATCACCAGGTCCTTCTACCGGAACGTGGCGGGTGTCCTGCTGGTCTATGATGTGACAAACAGGAAGTCCTTTGAACACATCCAAGACTGGCATGCAGAGGTCCTAGCCACTCAGGGCCCGAAGGTGATCTTCCTGCTGGTCGGCCACAAGAGTGACCTGCAGAGCAGCCGCTGCGTCTCCTCCCAGGAGGCAGAGGAGCTGGCCACCTCCCTAGGCTCAGCCTTCATAGAGACCTCAGCCAGAAACAACTGCAATGTGGAGATGGCCTTTGACACCCTCACGGATGCCATCCTGCAGGCCCTGCAGCAGGGGGACATGGAGCTGGGAGAGGACTGGGGGGGTGTCCGGCTCATCCACAAGGCCCAAGTGCCCAGCTCCCCCAGCAGAAAGCAGCATGCAGGCCTGTGCCAGTGTTGATCTGAGAGAGGGTCAAAGGTCTCAGCCTCACAGACTGTGTGGGACTGGGTCTACTGTATTAGTATCTCTGGGAGTCAAATGACAGAGGAGTAATGTCAACAGTATTTTGTGTGTGTGTCGGCGGGGGGGGGGGGGGGGTTTCCAGGGTCTTGCCGTACAGTTCAGGCTGGCCTTAAACTCACTTTGTAGCCCAGGGTAGTCTCAAACTCACAGCAATCTTTTTGCCTCAGCCTCCCCAAGTGCTGGGATTACAGGCATGCTGCCACCATGCACGGCCTAACATTATCTTGACATGGTCTTGCCTCCTAGATTTTGAAGTCTCGCCCCTTGCTAGAGAGAGGGCTATAAAGCCAGGTGTGTATTCCCTGTCCTTGAGCCTCAGTTTCTTTACCTGTCAGTGGAGCTCTTAAAAGATCCCACTGGGGCTGGGGATTTAGCTCAGCGGCATAAGCACCTGCCTTGCAAGCAAGCAGTCGTGCGTTCCATCCCTGGTACCGATAAAAAGGAAAAAGCCAAAAACAATCTAAAAGATCCCACTGCTCAGGGAGGTTGTAGTCACAAGATAAAGACAGGGTGTGCTCACTCAGAGCCTGCCACGCAGAGAACTGAAGGACAAAAGCTGTTAACCCCGCATTCCTTTCTGGCTGTGACGCTGCCATTTCTGGCAGGATTTCGGGCCCAGTGCTGAGCCACTTGGCATCTGAACAGCTGTCCTGGAGAAGACTGTGAGGGGATTCCCAGTGTGAACTTGGCTTGGAGGCTCCCCTTTTTTTGAAAACAGTTTCACTATGCAGTTCAGATTGGCTTTGAACTCACTATGTAGCCCAGGCTGCTCTTGGATTCCAGGTGATCCTCCTGCCTCAGCCTCCTGAGTGCTATATCCCACTATATCTGGACCTATATCTTTTGGTCCTCAGACTAGGATGAATCAGATGTGGTTTCAGACTCGGGGCTGCTGCCCACTGTCCCCACCCCAAGCCCACAGCTGAATCTGGATCCCAGAGGCAGGGGTGAGTGAACAGCAGTCAGGTTGGTCACGGTGGACACTAAGAAGAGCCTGGCAGGCTGTAGGATGCACCCAGCCCAGCTGCTGGGCCCTCTCCCTGGGGGACCTTAGCTTGCAAAGCTCCCTGGGAGACTGCCTGGCCCTGGGGCAACCCACATCCAGTTTTCATCAACTCTGGACAACTCTGAGGGTCAAATCCAGCTTCATCTGTCCTTGAGCTTCACTGAGAACATCACTGACATCATGGCCAAGTTTCCCTCTGCCAGTCCTGCTTCCTTCCCACCCAAGTGTGGCTCTCAAGAATGTCCCTACTTGGGCTGGGGATTTAGCTCATCGGCATAAGCACCTGCCTTGCAAGCAGGCGGTCGTGAGTTCATTCCCTGGTACCGATAAAAATGAAAAGACAAAAAAAAAAAAAAAAAAAAAAAGAATGTCCCCTACTGCCTTGTAAGCAGGCAGTCGTGTTTGATCCCTGGTACCGATAAAAAGGAAAAAGACAAAGGAAAAAAAAAAGAATGTCCCCTAATGTCCGCCCACCATGCTCCATCTGCCTCTTGGGGCACCCAGCCTGTCACAGGAGCTGCCAGGCAAGAATGGGCATATTTTCATCCCTTCACCAATTTTTTTTATTTTTTTATCTTTTTTTTTTTCCTTTTTATCGGTACCAGGGATCAAACTCACAACTGCATGCTTGCAAGGCAGGCACTTATGCCGCTGAGCTAAATCCCCAGCCCCTCAATTTTGTCTTTTCATGAGAATTGACTCTGTTCCAGTCGGGTTATAGCAGTGACCATGACAGAAAAGTCTTTTGGGGGCTAGCATTCTAGTGGAAGAGGGAAAAAAAGAAGTAAATAAACCATACCATTTCCAGTTGTGCTCGTGACTGTGAGGAGCACAGATCAGGGACATGGGGTGTGCGGGGCGTGGCCTCTGGGCTGGAGCTGCTTCCAAGAGGGGAGGAAAAGCTGAGGTAGGAGCAGGGATGGCCAGCCTTGATGCAGGGCGGCTTCTGTTGTCACGTTACAGGTGAGACCAGTCCAAAGCAAGCAACTGATGGGCTTGAAGTCACACAGCCTGGAAGAGCAGGAAGTTCCAGTACTTTCTCGAGGACTCCCTGTGGCCTCTGGGGACCCTTGTTCAGGAGGGAAGCTTGTCTGAAAGAGAGCAGCTAGCCCTGGTCACAGAAGCCCTGGCCAGGGCCTGGAGAACCCACAGACAGGGAGAGTGGAGAGAGTGCCATGTTCCTAAGTGCAAAGTGTCAGTAATAACTTTGGTCCCACGGGGTTATGACACTAAGTGAAATATGTGAACTCAAACCACAGTATGGGCCCTTCTATTGAGGGTGGCTTACTAACCTTGTAGAACCCTGCTCACTCTGGGAACTGAGCCCAGGGCCACTGCATCCTCAGGCTTTTATTTTATCTTGATGCAGGATATTGTTACATATGTAAATTGCCCAGGCTGGGCTCAGAGTTGCCATCTTCCTGCTTCAGCCTCCCAATCCTGGGATGGAGGCACACAGCACCACGCCCAGCACAGCTTGCCCAGTGTATCCAAAGGGTCCTCATGCTGAGTTTGAGGGTGGTTTGGACTATATAATAAGATCCTGTCCCCTCCCCCACAAAAGAAAAAAAGAAGAAAGGGCTGGGCATTTAGCTGAGTGGCATAAGTGCCTGCCTTGCAAGCTTGAGGTCATGAGTTCGATCCCCAGCACCAAAAAATAGAGAGGAAATCAATGCCATGATATTTTTTTAAACTTTTTATCGATACCAGGGATCAAACTCAAGACCGCCTGCTTACAAGGCAGGTACTTATGCTGCTGAGCTAAATTCCCAGCCCCAAAAAAGAGGAAATCTAGGGTAGTGCTTGTTACACAGCAGGTTACAAAATGAAGTCCTTAGCTCCTTTCTTTGAGATTTTCACTTTAATCATTACAAGGGAACAGAGATTGCCAGAGAAACTACTCTAGTAAAATAACTTTCAGACTCTGATGAAGTTTTTTTTATTTGTTTTGTTTTTTAGACAGTGTCTCACTACCCCAGGATGGCCTCGGGCTTTGGTAATTCTTTCGCCTCAGCCTAAGTGCTGGGATTACAGGTCTGTTTCACCATGTCCTGCTCTAATGATATTTCTTTAAAATTCTAGCTGGGTGTGGTGGTATAGACCTGTAATTCCAGCATTCTAGGAAGTCAAGAGAACTGCAAATTTAAACATAGCCTACGTGATTCAGAGAGACCCTATCACAAAATGAAATAAAATTTATTTATTTATTTTTTTTTTTTTTGGCTTTTTCGTTTTTACCGGTACCAGGGATCGAACTCACAACTGCCTGCTTTCAAGGCAGGCGCTTATGCTGCTGAGCTAAATCCCCAGCCCCTGAAATAAAATTTAAAAAGGCTTGAACAACTATTTGCAAAACAACATCAACTAGTGATTTGTGTTTTTTTCTCTGAATGTATGTACTTTTTTTTACCTATTTTCTGTTTTGTTTAATCTTTCTTTAAATAAAAATTAAAAAAAAATTTTAAAAGGCCTAGAGATGTAACTTAGCATGAACATGTGAAGTCCCACCTGGAGATGTGGCCTGGGCTGTTTTTCTTTTTGGTACTGGTGATGGATCCTAGAGTCTTCACCGTGGTTTAAATCCTCAGTCCTTATTTTTTATTTTGAACAGTCTTGCTTAGTCACTAAATTGCCCAGGCTGGGTTTAAAGTTGTGATCCTTCTGTCCCAGGCTCCCAGAGTGCCAGAAATTACAGTACCAGCTGGTCTCTGCTTTCTAACTAACTGTGAAGTTCTGGAATCTTCTCTTTGAGTCTATTCTTAGGCTTTTTTTTTTTTTTTTTTTTTTTTTTTTTGAGACAGGATCATACTGTGTAATCGAAGGTAGCCTCAAAGTCATGCTGATTCTCCTGAGTGCTGGAATTACAGCACCATCCCCAGCCTGCCTTTGTGCCTTTCACGTGTTGTCCCCTGGGACAGCATACCCTTCTCTCACCTCTAACTTCTCATCTTTTAGGCTGAGCCCAAACGACCCCTCATCTGATATACCGGCTCTTTCTGAGCCAGGGCCTTCACATTGAGCTATATCCCAACTCTTTTTATTTTGAGATTGGGTCTCAGCAAATTCCCAGGAATCCTCCTCTGCCTCCCAGAATGCTGGGATTTTAGGTCTGTGCCACCATGCCTGGCTTTTATGCCAGTTCTAAGCCTCAGAATTCTCTTACATGAATCTTTCTCAGAGCCTAACAGTTAAGTTGCTCATGCTGAAGCGGGGTGAGGAGGCCAGAGCCTCCCATTCCCTGCAGGGCACACTCATAGCCTCCCGGCACAGGCACTGACAAAGGCTCCATGGGTTCCTGGAGAAGCCAGGATGTTGCCACCACTGAGCCTGAGGGCTGTACCCGGGTCCCTTGTCGCCCAGCTCTGTCCTCTCTCTGCACATGCACAGACTTCTTTAGGCCTGTGCATATGCCATGCATCTGCTGACTGCCTCAGGGGCTCCTGCTGCTTCTAGATGAGGACCACAACTCTGCTGGGGCTGCAGAGCTCCTACACATGCAGATCCTGCTCCAAAGAAGAGGGCCCACCAGCCTTCACCTCGACCCCACAGATCTCTGCTCCAGTAGCACTTCTTTCCGCGGCCCAGCCCCGAGAGCCTCCCCCCCCCAAGCCTCTTGCTGGCTTCTCCAGTGGCAGGAATGCTCCCTGGGTCTTCTGAGCTGCCTGCAGAGCTTATAAAGACTTGCCACATGAATGAACATGAACACACCCCAAATGTGCAAATAAAGACAGTCAGACAAAGAGAGAGGAAGCCACTTATCTGTCACACAGGTGACTAAGGGCTGTAATCTTCTGCAGTTTTCTTGTCCCCTTTTGTCCTTAGTGAGGGACTCAAAATTAATTCTGTGTTCCTCTGGTGACCAGTGACATCTGTGTTCCCATGGTTGGAGCTCAGGCCTTCGATGCTTGTTACTGCAAACAGAACATTCTTTGGGGCACTGCCCAGTGGCCTGAGCTCGTTCTGGAGGAAGTTAAAATCCTCCAAGATTCTCATCCTGGTTGCAGGCCACAGAAGTGACTTGGTGGCCAAGTGTCAGGCAAGGCCAGGAAAAGGATGAAGGTAGCTGTCCCATGAGGGTTTGAGATATCCGCCAAAAGCAACAGCGACATCTGCACGGCTTCTGTTGCTCCAAGACATCTATGAGCTGTGAAGAGGGCTCCTGAGCCAGGGGATGGAAGCAAGGGTCCCTCTGCAGGTGGGTGAGGTGCAGCCAAGCGTGTGCGCTGAGCCTGAGGCCTCCCCAATACCCAAACCTCACAGTCCACCAAGGCAATGCTGGGCCCAGGTGGGGACGATGCCATTGAAAGCTCAACCCTGGGATCTGGAAGGTGCTAGGTTTCCTCTGTGTGTTAGTGAAAATTCTAGGTTCAGGGACTGTGACAGCTAAGGACAGCCAGGCCTTTTCTCTAGCTTACTCTGGTCCTCATCAGTGCCAAAAGGACCCAAACTTTCTCTAGGAGTTGCAGGTGTTCAAAAAGGTTCTTAGGCACAGTAACATTACTCAAACCAGGATGCTGTTACTCTGGGGTCTGTTACCCCCTGATGCTGACAAACCAGACTCAAACAAGGACTAGCCTAAAACAACGGGAACTCTCTGTGTGCCTCAGACATCAACTCAGTGCTGCCCCCTGCTGGGCTTCCCGGCTGCCTAGGGCCAGAGTCAAAGGCTCTAAGCCATGTACTCTGTGTCTTTCAATTAATAACTTCTTTATTCTGGAAAAGCAAATCAAATTCATATTCATATAAACACTGACATTACAAAGTACAGGGAAAAGGAAAAGGGAAGAGGAAACAAAACCCTCTACAAATCCTGCTAATACTGTCGCACCCAACAAAATCATAATGCTTTGTCATGTATTCAATCACTTCTAGTATAATAAACCACCAATAAAATCTTCTCTGGAAGGTATACTGCTCCTCTTTGAGACGGCAGGGAAAAGGGACCGGAGGTTGGGATAGGAGGCTTTATTCTTTTGGCAGATCCTCTCAGTCATTATAGATATTGCTGCACTGTTAATAAAAAATATATGCTTCTCTGTAAAGCATTTAAAAACAAACAAACAAACAAACAAACTCCAAGGATGAGATGGCTGAGGTCTCAGCTCAAGTATCTCCAAATACATTGGACAGGTCCATACCCTGACCTTCCTGCGTGTTATTTCTTGGTTGTTTTCCGGATCAGTGCCATTCTCTGAAAGGAGAGAGAAATAAACAATTACACAGGTTCAAGGCAGGTGCTCAAAGGCTCCTCCCTCCTACAGGGTAGTGTGCAGGGCCCCGTGGGTGTCTGGAGGCCCGAAGGGTCACTCCTACATCCAAACTGCTGTAAGCCACAGGATGGCAAGGAGTTACGAGCAGAAGGGGACAGCTCTTGCTTTCTGGGAACACAGGTCAAGGCTGGCAAAGCATGTTTTTCCTTGGCCCCATTCTCTTCCTCCCTAGAGTGGTGGAGAAAATAGGGAAAGGGCCTTGGTTTCAAACGAGGAGCTGGCACTGCACAGTGACCTGCAGTGACGGGCAACTGAAGAGCGACAGCTCGCTGGCTTCGCTCACTGTTTCTGGTTTGCTTGATTGTTTTTTGGGAGACAGGGTCTTGCTATGTCGTTCAGACTGGTCTTGAACTCAGTACGTAGCCCAGGCTGGCTTTGAACTCATAGCCATCCTCCTGCCTCAGCCTCCCCAGTGCTGGGGTGACAGGTGTGCACCACTGCATCCAGCTTTGCTCAGTCTTTTTGACCAACATCATGCTACTGGTTGAGTAAGCAGGGCTGAGCACTGGATGACCTGGGAGCACAGCCAGAGTGACAGGAGAAACTCCCTGTAAGACAGTGCAGCCTTTCAGTTCAGGCTACTGGTGGTTTCCTGGTCTTCCATGTGCTCTGTTCATAGCTGCCCAGGGCCATGAAAACACAAGGAATGCACTCAGGGCTGCCCAGTCACGCTTGTCAGACACTCCAAACCAGAAGAGCCAGTTAAGACAGAAAGTACAGCAGCCAAGTCCCACATTGCTATCGGCCTGACCAATGCAGGGCCAGCTTGCTCTGTATAAGCGCTGCTCCACACTGCCCCAGGGCTCCTCCTTAGGAGGGACAGAACAGAGGTCCATCGGGGGACCCAGGCCTGTGTAGCTGGCAGAGCAGCCTGGTACTACTCTCAGCACAACACAGTATATTTCTTTCTTTCTTTCTTTTTGTCTTTTTCGTTTTTTATCGGTACCGGGGATTGAACTCACGACTGCCTGCTTGCAAGGCAGGCTCTTATGCTGCTGAGCTAAATCCCCAGCCCTAACACAGTGTATTTCTTAGAACTACTCTATTCACAGAGCCATACGTGGGCTTCAGACCAGCATGAAGGAGGTATGGGGGAGGCAGGAGGGCAGAATCTAAAGCTTCAGGTGATGCTCACCAGACCTGAGAAGAAAACTAGAGCCCCTGTGGGGACAGAAGACACCTGCTCGTGCTGCCTTTCATCTTCTCTGCCCGCTGTGTGGGGCAGGGAGACCCCTCACCTGCTTATGTGCTTCTGTGGTGCAAGCTTTTTTGTAGGGCCGGATTTCTTCAGAGCCGAATCCTGGGATCCACATGTTCCACTGGCGCTCTGCAAGGGAGAAGCCCGCACAGGTGAGGAAGGCCACACCAGGAGCACGATGGGACACTTGCTCAGACCAGTGCCAGGGAGGATGGGTCACAACATGAACCATACTAACACCACCCCAGGAAAGGTTCCACAATCACTCATAGCTGCTCCGAAGTGTTGTGTTTTGTAGACAGGGTCTCACTATACACACCAGGCTGGCCTCAAACTTGTGGTCATCCTCTTGTCTCAGCCTCCCTGGTACTGAGATAACAGCCCACCTACCAAGCCTGGGTCAAATAAATTTTTAAAATGTAAATATTCACAAATTTTTACAGCACTTCTCCTATGTAACTGTAGCTATTTATTTTATATGTAAGTCTGTGTATATGTATATATCTCCATATCCATATTCTCTGGTACTAACTAGGGACTAAACCAAGGGCTTTTACTGAGCTACATCTTATTTTTTTATTTGAGATAGGGTCTGACTAAATTGCCCCAGCTAGGCTTGAACTTGCCACTCTCTGGCCTCAGTCAAAGCCTCAGTCCCCTCAGTACAGAGGTCCCTGGACTTTCGAACTCAAGTATTCCCTGAGGGCCAGTTGTAGCTCAGGTTGTCACCCAGAGCCTCAGGCCTTCATAGCCTCTCTCCCATATACCAGCAAATCTCAGTGTCCTTAGAGAGACACCGGCCCAGGATTTCTCAGTTAACCCCATGCAGGACAGGATATGGTCATGTTCCTTCAAGAACTCTTTAGGGATTAAATCTGTATCTGAGACCATCTGGAAGGACAAGCGTGTGGTATTTGGGATATAACTCAAGACTGGTCCTAAGTCAATTCCAGTCAGAACCAAGTTGTTCGTATGTTAAGCTGTTCATAACTTGATGTCTGCTGTAGCTGGGATTAAAGGCATACATCACCATGTCCAGATTCTTAAATCATCTTTAAATATAAGGTGGCGTTAAGTGCATTCACACAGCTATGCAACCATCATGCTTGTCCATCTTCTTCATCCAGCCCAACTGCAGCTGTAGCCTCTAAACAGGAAGTCTGTACCCTGGCTCTGCTTTCCATGTGTGTGAGTCTGGCTGTGGTGCTTCTGTAACATGCCTGCAAGTCCCTCCACGCCTCTCCACCAAGAGGTGCAGTGTAGCTGGGCACGGGTGCTCAGCCCTATGATGCCAGCACTTTTGGAGGCAGAGGCAGGATGATCACAAATTCAGCTCAGTCTGCACAATTTAGCACATAGGGAGAGATCCTGACTCAAAACAGTCTTTCTGACTGCCGCAAAAAGGAGAATTCAGGGGCTGGGGATTTAGCTTAGTGGCATAAGCACCTGCCTTGCAAGTGTGTGGTCGTGAGTTCAATCCCCACTACCGATAAAAAAGAAAAAAACAAAAAAAATTTTAAAAAAAAAAGGAGAATTCAGCAGGAGGGATGCTGTGTAACTTCAGATCTTGGAGTAGAAAAGGCCATGGAGGCCAGGTATGGTGGTACACAACAGTAACTCCCACTAGTCAAGAAGATAAGGCTTGGGAGGCTGAGCCAGGAGGACTGCTATGAGTTCGAGGGTACCTGAATTATACAAGACAGTCTCAAAAAACCAAAACCAACCAAACAAACAAAAACACCTGAGGCAGGAAGATCACAAATTCAACTTCTGCACTGGGCGTGGTGGCTCATGCCTGTAATCCCAGCACTTGGGAGACTGAGGCAGGAGGATCGTTGCGAGTTCAAGACTAGCCTAGGCTACAAAGTGAGCCAAGGCCAGCCTGAACTACGCAGCGAGACTCTGTCTCAAAAAGACAAAAAAAAAAAGTTCAACTTTCTAGGCAAGTTAGCTATATTCAAGATGGAATAAAAAGAAAAACAATGAACAAAATATTTGAAACATATAAAAAAGTAAATGTGAAGTCAAGTGTGGTAATCCCAGCACTTAGAAGGCTGAGACAGGATGATCTCCATGAGCTTAAGGCCAGCCAGGACTAAAAAGCAAAACCCTGTCTCAAAAGAGACAGAGAAAAAGACAGAGAGAGAGATAAGGGAAGGCCTTACAGCACCAAAGACTGCCTGTTACTACCAGGAGCTAGGAAAAAGCAAGAAACAGGCTTCCCTAGGGCGTGACCTTGTTAACACCTTGATTTCAGTCTCTGGCTTCCAGACCTGTGAGAGTGCTGGATTTGTGTACATGTGCCACCACAGCCAGCTAACAACTATTTCTGTTTTTAGTTTTTAAGACAGGGTCTTACTGTGTTGTCTAAGCTAACCTCCAGGTCCTAGGATCAAGCAATTTTCCTGCCTCAGCCTCCAGAGTAGAGATTACAGATGTTAGTTATCATATCTGGCTAATAATAATAACTATTATTGGTACTGGGGATCAAACCCTGGGCCTCACACATGCTAGGAGAGTATTCTACCACTGAAGTACATCTCTAGCCCAGATAACTGTTACTGTTTATAGATCTCTGGTGCAATACTGGCCTTGCGCATGCTATGTGAGTGCTCTACTATGGAGCTATACCCTTAACACTGTTATAGATTTATTTTCCCCAGTACTGGAATTGAACTCAGGGCCTCTGCACTGATCTACAGCCCAGGCCTTGTTTTTTTTTTTTAATCTTGATACAGGACTTTGCTGAGTCAGTAAGTTACTAAGGTTGGACCTGAACCTGTGATCCTCCTGCCTCAGTCTCCCAGGATGCTAGGATTACAGGTATATAACACCACATTGGTAAGAAATACTTTCTTGACACTGGGATGGAAGCCTTCTAGTCATGAGCCATGAACTGGTCTCCCTGAATCCCTCACCACTGTCTGCATCCCTCACCTGGCCCAACTCTGTAGTTATAGATTCTTCTCTCTTTTTTTTTTTTGTCTTTTTCATTTTTTATCGGTACCGGGGATTGAACTCAGGACCACCTGCTTGCAAGGCAGGTGCTTCCGCCGCGGAGCTAAATCCCTAGTTCCTAGATTCTTCTTTCTTTGATCACATTTGTAACTGATGCAGAAGAGGATTTACTCTTTTCCAAATTAATATGGTATTAATGTTAGGTCAGTATCTCCCAAAAACCCAAGCTCAAATTTAGTGTCTGTTGAGTGGGGAAGAATACAAAATTGTATGCATTTTATAATGTTATTAGTAAAAATGCATACACAGGCTGAAAACTGCATGGGAACACTGAGGAACTTCTTTTAGGGGTAGGGGCAGGGTCTCCTTATATAGTTCAGGCTGCTCTTAAATTCACTCTGTAGCCCAGGCTGGCCTAAACTCAGAGCAATCTTCATGCGTCAGCTTCCCAAGTGTTGAAATTATAGGCATGTGCCACCATGCCTAGATAGGAATAATTTTATTTTTGTTTTTTGCAGTGCCAAGGCCTTGCATATGCTAACCAAATGCTTTACCACTAAGCTACAATCCCAGCCCTGAGAACAGTTTTATTTCAATGATATAATAATAACAGCTATAAATTACTAAGCACTAGGGGCTGGGGATTTAGCTCAGTGGCATAAGCACCTGTCTTGCAAGCAGGCGGTCGTGAGTTTGATCCCTGGTACCACAAAAAAGAAAAAAAAAAATTACTAAGCACTTATTTTGTGCTGGGCACTATACCAGTAACTTTTTTGTTTATTTTTGAGACAGGGTCTCACTATGTAGTTCAGGCTGACCTTGAACTCACAGTGATCCTCTTGCCTCAGCCTCCTGAGTGCTGCGATGATAGGCTTGTGCCACCATACCCAGCAATGTGCCAGTCAGTTAACAAACATGGTCTGTAAGTCTCACAATTACCCTGAAAAGAGGTTTTACAAACCAAGAAGCAGGCTCTAAGACAAACCAACTGAGAAGACAAAGCAGCATAGTTAGAAGGCAGCAGCAGCAGAATATGGTTTTAAATGCAAGGCCTGGGCTCATCCCCCAGCGCAGATGGAATTCTCTCCTCCCCTAGTGCTGCGGTTGGATGGATACATAAATCCAAAAGGTCCCAAAGTCCGATCTCAGCCTGAAGGCTCCTCTCAACTCCCCGCCATCCTGAAGGAACAGCTGCGGGGCTCCTTTAGGAAAATGAGGCCGAGTACCTAGATGCAGCTGGACGTCTTTCACCTCCAGGGTGCTGGACTTGCGATGCCGAGCAAGCTGGCAGGCTGCTGTCACCACACTCTCGATAAAGTCATCAGCAATCTGCAGCAGCATCTGGAGAAGCAAGGTGGGGACAGTCACCATGATGCCAGTGGGTGGGGTAGGGCGCCTGTTGCAGGGACAAGTTTCCCCCTGGATCAGTCAGCTTTCTGCAGCGGACCTGGAATCGGCATTTGGGCTAAGCAGAGGATGAAGAATGAAGGCCACAGAAACATTACCCAGTGCAAGGGCAAAGCGCACCCCTGTGAAGAGGGACTCTTGTGCTTTCTACCTATTTCTACCTAGCCAAGGTTAAGTAATGCAGCCCCTTTCTTTCTGGTTTTTTTTTTTTTTTTGGTTATTTGAGACAAAGTCTCACTTTACGGCGCAGGCTGGTCTTGAACTCACCATGTAGCTCAGGCTTAGAACTCACAATCCTTCCAGTGCTGAAATTATAGGCATGTGCCCTGGTGCTCAGTCAATAAGTTTTAATGCAAATCATGTATCTGTATCTCTATCTATCTATCTAGACAACAAGGTCTTGTTATATTGGCCAGGCTGGTCTTATACTTGTGGGCTCCAGTAATTCTCCCACCTCAGCCCCCTGAATAACTACAAATACGTATCACTACACTCAACAAAATCATGTTTTTAATGGCTAATTCTTTAAGAATGGATGTCCAGGATTACCAAACATTTGAAGAAAATATCTTAGCATTAAAAACATAATGGGGGCATATGCCTAAAATTCCCTACATAGTGAACTACTCGGAAGGCTGAGGCAGGAGGACTGCTGTGAATTCAAGATCAGCCTGCACTATATAGCAACACTCTCTCAAACAAAAACAAAAAAACTGGAATTGGGCCAGGGATTTAGCTCAGCAGTATAGGCACCTGCCTGGAGAATACAAAATCATGAGTTCAATCCTCAGTACCATAAATAAGAATAAATGAACGAACAAACTGGAATAAACAAAGTGGAAGCATACAGAGGCAAGAGACTATGCAAGGAAAACAAAAGATAAAAAATATAATGCTCTCAGAGATAGAAATAAGAGAAGATACTGCAATCGAATATATGAACAAAGCTGGGGATTTAGCTCAGTGGCATAAGTGTCTGCCTGGCAAGTGCAAGGTTGCGAGTTCGATCCCTGGTATCAAAAATAAATAAATAAAAATAAAAAATAAAATATGAACAAAGTTTCTTTCCTCAAGAAAAAACCTTTGTGCTGGGTGTGGTGTAACCCTGTAATCTCCACACTTGGGGCTGAGGCAGCAGGAGCGCTGAAAGTGCACGCCAGCCTGGGCTACACTGAGACCCTGTGTCAAAAGACTGAGGAAGGGGCTGGGGTGCAGGTAAGTGTCAGCGCAGCCCTGGGCTGAATCCTAGTTCTCAAAAGAGAAAAGAGAAGGGTTGGGACTAGGCATGTAGAGTGCTTGGCAAGCATGTCCAAGGCCCTGGTTCAATCCCCTGTCCAACCAACCCAATCTAACCCAACCCCCCAGCCCACCGCTTTGTTTGCCTCTAAGTCTCTGCTCTTAACTAGCATGCTGTATCAGTGCTTAGGGATACAGCTGCTGGTGTCCTCAAAGCCACCTTACCTCCTCCACATCTTCATCCAACTGTTCATTAGGATCCACTTCTCTTACTAAGTCCTGTAACTTCTTCTTGGTCAACACCTAAAGTTCATTGGGGAAAGATTTTTCAGTGACTGGTAAGGAAACAAGCAGCTTCTGAAGAAAGGCTGTCAAACTGCTGGGTTTAGCTGTAAGTTTGGAAAGCACTCAGAGTTCACTCTGCCTGGGGCCTTGCTACAAACTCTACTCTCCGGACAGAAGCAGCCAGGGGAAGGCAGAAAGAGTGGCTTGGAAGAGGCCGGTGTGCAACAGCCAGGCACTTTATTTCTGTTCATCACCTTGTTGCTCAGTCCCTTCCCTCAAAGGAAGCAGTTTGTACCTGACTGAGATGGCACCCTTGCCACACTCTCCTTTCTGCTTCCTCCATGCTCAGCTCCTTTCCTTTTGGATGCCTTTCCTCGCCCACCAGGTAAAAGCAACTATTCCCTTCATTTGCCTTTGCTATGCCCTGGGCATCACTGTGCATATTTACAAACCTCCCTGTACCTGACTCAATAGATTAAACTCTCTCAGAGGGCAGGGAACATTGTATTCACCTCTGTGAAACTAAATAATGTATGGGTATGTATAACCATCACCACTTTCATAAAGAAAATGCTGAGTTGCATTTATGTGTGTATGAATATAACTTAAAAATGATCAGTAGCTGGGCACTTCAGAGGCTGAGGCAAGAGGGTCACAGCAAGTTCCAGGCCAGCCTGGACTATCTAACGAGTTTGAGGGCAACCTAAACTACAAAGACTCTTTCTCAATAAATGAATGAATGAATGAATGAATGAAAGCCGGGTGTGGTTGTGCCGCTAGTCCTAGCACTTAGGGATCACCACAAGTTTACTGCAAGCCTGAGCTACATAATGAGTTCAAGATTAGCCTAAGCTACCTAGTAAAACCCTGCCTCCCCAAAAACAAATTGGTTTTGCTCCGTTTATCCTATTTTCTACGTCTTTTGTCTCCTTACTGCCAAGCTAACTTAAGACATGCTACTTTTATTATGTGAATGTTATTCCCTATTAAGTATCTGCAAAGGCTGTCTATGGCCCTGCTGGGCATGGTGGCACGTGCCTGTAATCCCAGCACTCAGAAGGCTGAGGCAGAAGAATCACCACAAGTTTGAGGTCCGCCTGGACCACATAGTGAGACCTGGTCTCAAAAACAAAATGAAAACCAGATGGCCCTATTGTCTTAAAGTTCTTTTTTTTTTGTCTTTTTCATTTTTATCGGTACCAGGGAGCGGACTCACGACTGCCTGCTTGCAAGGCAGGCGCTTATGCCGCTAACTAAATCCCCAGCCCCTGTCTTAAAGTTCTTATGGAAACCTGGTAGTACAGGCCCACTACGCTTCGCTGCAGTTCTGCCTTAACCTGTTTATCCCTAGTTCTTCTCCGTGGAGTCTCTACTCAACATAGGTTGGTCTCCTGACTCTGCCCAGCCCTTCCTGCTCTTCTCTGCTAGCATCTTCACCAATTCTTTTGAAATGTTTCCTCATCCATCCTACTTAGCCTGCAAGATCTAAGTCAAGGTAGTGAACCTCTATTTTGTGACTCTGGAGGGTGGAACCAGGATCACGAATGTAAAGAGGGAGCAGATTGGGGCTGGGGATTTAGCTCAGCGGCATAAGTGCCTGCCTTGCAAGCAGGCAGTTGTGAGTTCAATCCCCGGTACCAATAAAAAGGAAAAAGACAAAAAAAAAAAAAAAAAAAAAAAAAAAAAAAAAGAGGGAGCAGATTTTAGAATCACTGCAAAAACTCATGATGGGAGAAGCCAGGCACGGTGGCACATGTCTGTAATCCCAGCACTTGGGAGGCTGAGGCAGGAAGATCTTGAGTTCCAGACCAGCCAGGACTACAAAGTGAGCTCAAGGCCAGTCTGAATTGCACAGCAAGACACTGTCTCAAAAAAGACACACACACACACACACACACACACACACACACACACAAATTAGTAATAATAGAATCTGGATGATTTAAAAGGAGGAAAGACAGTTATTTTAAGAATAACCTATTTATATATTTTTTTCCCATTTATATTTTTAAATAACTACATGCTAGCACATATATACATACATATACATATATATACATATATATGTGTATATATATATATATATATATATTTTTTTTTTTTTTTTTTTTTAATCGGTACCGGGGATCAGACTAATGACCGCCTGCTTGCAAGGCAGGTGCTTATGCCGCTGAGCTAAATCCCCAGCCCCTTATATATCTTTTTTTATAGCTAGCATATATAAAGCAGCCATTATAGGCAAAGTGTTGTGTGAGTATATGTGATGGATGCAGGTACATATGCATACACACAACTACACATGACAGAATAAAAACTGATACACAGTGAACATGATAATCTGATAAAGAATGTTGGGATTCTGGAGTGCGAACAGACCTTGCTCAATTGCGAAGAGACAGTGCCTGACATGGCCATCGCCCAAAGCATCAGTGGTTCAAATAACCAAAAGCGGTGCCCACACAGGACAAGGAACAGGGACAATACCTGATTGTTCTCAGGGCTGAGACGACCTCCTGTCCCAGGAGTCCCTGGTATCTTTACCACTGTGGTGCTATTGGCCATGGAGCCCTGCGGAGGGGTGTTGGCTGGTTCCGGTTTTATGGATGAAAAATTGGAGAGGTTGATAAGTGCTGAGGGGCCAAACTGGTTCATAATCTGCCGAGCTTTGGACTTCAGCTCATAGAGCTTATCGAGATCCTGTTTCTTTTTGGAGCTGTGAGGACCAAGGCCAATCAACTGGAGAAGGAAAACATGAGAATTAGCACTAGAAATGCAGATACTAAAGTGTGAGTGTGAGTTTTGAAAGTAAAATTATGCATCTGTCAGACTTTGAGGGGTCTTCAGTATACCTGGCATGGTGACCACTGGTTACCTACACATTAAAATGGGGGGAATGAAGAATGTTCATTGCTCTCACCTGACATTCAGACATCCTTTCTTCTCCAAAAGCTAAATGATATAGTTCACAAGTTGAAATAAGGAAGAAGGTAAATGAAATGAAGAATCTTATATAGAAAATAAGCTAGAATAAGCAAGACATTTTTTTCTATATATACATTTTTTTTGTCTTTTTCATTTTTATCGGTACCGGGGATCAAACTCATGACCGCCTGCTTGCAAGGCAGGTGCTTATGCCGCTGAGCTAAATCCCCAGCCCCAAGCAAGACATTTTTGAGGACTACATATGAATATAACATTGGGTTACGTACCACATGCGTTACTTAAATATCAAATAATGTTAAATTCAAATAAGTTATAGCACAATCACACTGAAAACTCAGTCACAAACTTTAAGAAAACCTAATTAGTTCATTTTGGCATTTCAAACCATGCTGGAGTTTATGTCAGGGCTATGACCAATAAACATACATGATTGTTTAGCAACTGTGAAAAGTTCTTCTTTATCATGAAGAGCAGTTTTTCCCAGGGGTTAGCAATCTTTAAGTCCATGCAAAGACCCCAACCTGAAGCAGCCGAACTTCCTAAATCTTAGCGCCACGAGGCCGGGTCAGGATCAGAAGCACATTCACTAGGTTCTGCCACAGTGGCCTCAAGAGCTTACTTACAGCTATCTGAGTGTCTAGTTCTTTAATTACATCAGCCACGGCTGTGAGCCCGGTGAAATGAGAGGCAGCCATTTTCCAAAGCTACCTGCAAATGAATAGCTGGCATCAAGACCACCCTGCCACGGGTGCATCACAATTGCACGTTCTAATGCAACTTCACCAACCAGGATCCAGCAAAGTGCATTCGGAGAAACTTATCTCCTTGTCTTTAATGGGTGCTAGAAAAATATCTCCCTCCTTTCAGAAACAACTTTTTTTTTTGTCTTTTTCATTTTTTTATCGGTACCGGGGATCGAACTCACGACCGCCTGCTTGCAAGGCAGGTGCTTATGCCGCTAAGCTAAACCCCCAGCCCCCTTCAGAAACAACTTTAAAAATTAATTAATGGTCAGGTGGAGTGGTGTGTGGCTATAATCCTAGCACTCAGAAGGCTGAGGTAGGAGGATCTCCAGGAGCTCAAGGTTAGCCTATAAACGTTGGATCTTTTGGGCCCAGATTGTTTGCAGAGGCCCAGGCTAATATCAACTTCAAGAACCTCATGTGCAGCTTAGGGGATGGCAGCCTGTTCCCCTAGCAGGGCACACACCAGCAGGGGTGCTGACCTCTACAACTGCTAGCTCAGCAGAACAAAGAGAGAAATCTGAGGAGTCTGATGTGACAAGTGCTTTGATTGGCACTTGTTCATGCTGTTTTCTTGAGACAAGGTCTCACTATGTAGTAGTTTAGGCTGATCTTGAATTCACTATGTAGCCCAAGCTGGTTTACAAACTACTGCAACACTCCTGCCTCAGTCTTCCAAGCACTGTGATTAGTGGGCTTTGGTCTTTTGGACTAAACCCTTTTTATCGGTACCAGGGATCGAACTCACAACCGCACACTTGCAAGGCAGGCGCTTATGCCGCTGAGCTAAACCCCCCAGCCTCAGACTAAACCTTTTTTGTAAAATATTAAATAAAAAGTTCAATGTGTCGAGTATGGTATCACACTCAATCCTAGCTACTTTGGAGGCTGAGGCAAAAGTTTGAGGCAGCCCAGGGCAACTTAGTGAGACATTGTCTCAAAATAAAAAAAACAGAAAGGGCTGAGGATATACCTGAGTGGTACAGCATCCCTGTGACCCATCCCCAGTATAGCAAACAATAACAACTTAACTATTTTTCTAAAAGAAATAAAGAAAGAAAGAGTCAAACTATATCCTTACTAATCTAGCCTTACAGTTAATAAACTATACTTCTTAAACAACATTCTCCAACCTTCAAGGTACTTCCCATATAGCAATTTAATACTGCTTAAAAGAAGTGGAAGGGGGGCTGGGGATTTAGCTCAGCGGCGTAAGCACCTGCCTTGCAAGCAGGTGGTTGTGAGTTCGATCCCTGGTACCAATAAAAATGAAAAAGACAAAAAAAAAAAAAAAAAAAAAAAAGAAGTGGAAGATTCGGCACAGTGTTACATGTCTATAATCCTAGCACTGGGGAGCCTGAGGCAGGGAGATCACTGCTGAGTTTGAGGCCAGCCTGAGCTACATAGTGAGTTAAGGGCCAACCTGAACTACCTAGTGGGACCATGTTACAAAAAAAGAGAGACAGTCTTTTTTTATATTAGGGACTTTTTGCATAAAGAAAATTTCTGGGGCTGGGGATATAGTTCAGTGGCACAGCGCCTACCTGGCAAGCATAAGGTCTTGAGCACAATTCCCAGTGCCAAAAAAAAAAATCTGTTATAAGATCTGTGCAAAAAATACGAAATACTGGGCTGGGGATTTAGCTCAGTGGCATAAGCATCTACCTGGCAAGCACAAGGTCTTGAGTTTGATTCCCAGTGCCAAAAAACAAAATAAAAAACCCAAAATATCAAATACTCAATACCAAAATTACTCAACATCAAATATAAACAATCACTTATCAAGTTAGGAATCAACCTTAAGGAAGAACTCCAAAGCCAATAACTTTAATGAAGTGGGATTTCTAAGGCAGGAGAAAAGTCAAAGGTTCTCCTTTAAGCAACTAGAGTACAATTTACTGTACCCATTGATGCAGTTGGAAAGCAAATAATATTTCTGAACATACACCAATTCTAAGTGAATTATTTCTTAATATGAAAACTAGGGCCGGGGGTTTAGTTCAGCTGCCATGGGTTCAATCCCCAGTACCAGACACACAACCCACACACACACACACGTTCAAAGCCTCCCAATTCACTGTCCAGCCTTCTGAGTAGCAGGAGTTCTGGACATGTCACTGCTTTTTTTTTTTTTTTTTGTCTTTTGCATTTTTATTGGTACCGGGGATCAATCTCACGACCGCCTGCTGGCAAGGCAGGTACTTATGCCACTGAGCTAAATTCCCAGCCCCACTGCTTTTTTTTTAAACAAGCTTTTGGTTTTTGTAGTCCTAAGAGTCAACCCAAGACTTCAAGCACACTAGGAAATTCTTTTTGTGTGTGTGTGTCTTTGTCTTTTTCCTTTTTATCAGTACCAGGGATCGAACTCACCACTACCTGCTTGCAAGACAGGCGCTTATGCCGCTGAGCTAAATCCCCAGCCCCTCACTAGACAATTCTTTACCACTGACCTACATCCCCAGCACAGCCCCCGCTTTTAACTGGGGATTGAACCAAGAACTTTTACACTGAGCCATATACCCAGTCCTTTCTTTCCTCCTCCCCCCAGTCCTTTTTCTTTTTTTAGGCAGGATCTCGCTATGCAGTTCAGACCAATTTTGAATGCACTATGTATCCCTCGAATGCATGGTGATCCTCCTGTGTCAGCCTGAGTGCCAGGATTACAGGCATGCACCACTATGCCTGGCACCAGTCCTTTTTGTCAAATTTTTATTTATTTTTTATTTTTTATTTTTTCCAATTAGCTTCAGAAAGATAAAATTTTTATTTCTGAGGCAAGATTTTTGCTAACCTGCTAAACTGCTAAACTTCCCTGGCTGGGGTGGAATTTGCAATCCTTCTGACTCAGGTTCTTAGAGTTCTAGGATAACAAGTGCCACTATGCCCCGCTGATTAATTCACTTTACATATTTGGGAACTAGGAGTACTGCTCAGTAGTAGAGCACATGCTTCATATGCCCTTGGCACTGACCGTCACTCCCAGCATAACAAAACAAAACAGCTTACCCATTTGGAATGGGGGGTGCATATTTCTTATTTATATGCTCCTCCATTCCAAATAGATCAAATATTTAAAATTTAAACTTATTTTTTTGTAGTGCTAGGTGTTGAACCAAGGAGTGTTTTATTACTAAGTTATATCCTCAGCCCCCCTGCCTTTTTTTTATTTTGAGACTGTATCTTGCTAAGTTGCTCAGAATGGCCTCAAATTTTCTCCATCCTCCTGCCTCATCCTCCCTAGTGCTGGGTTTATAGGCAGGTGCCACCATGCCAAATTCCAGTTTCATTTTTAATAATTATAGTCAAAGTTATATATTAATAGAGCACACTGTACACATATGAAATATGGATCCACCAGCACTCTGGCCAAGGAAGAGAAGACCATAAGTGTGAGCCCTGTATGGGGAACTTAGAGATCTGGCAAAAAAGACTGGGATGTAATTCAGTGTGACAGCTTTGAGTTCAATCTCTATAGCACATAAATTAAGTAAACATAAAAAGTCATTTGGGTGTGCTATTTATATATATCAATATTTATATACTGATATATATATACACATATATAATATATTTTTTGAGACAGGGTTTCACTCTGTAGTTCAAACTGGTTTTGAACTTACTATGTAGGCCAGGTTGGCCTCAGATTTGAAGTGATCCTCCTGCCTCAGCCTCCCAAGTGCTGGGACTACAGGCATGCATCACCACACTTGGGGTTTTTTTTCCCAAAGAAAATTATTTAATCTGGGCCAGGGATTTAGCTCAGCAGCTAAAGCACCTACCTGGCAAGCGCAAGGTCATGAGTTGGATCCCCAGTACCCCCCAAAAAAGGCCTTGAGCTAGGTTCTATTCTCATATGTGCAATAAATAACCAAACAAACAAAAAGAGAATATACATATAATCATTCTATCAAAACAAGATTATGCCACCAGGCATGGTGGCATGCACCTGTGATCCTAGCACTGGGAAGGCTGAGGCAGGAGGATTTTTGCAAGTTTGAGACCAGCCTGGGCTACAAAGTGAGCTCAAGGCCAGCCTAAACTGCATAATAAGACTCTGTCTCAAAAAAGCAACAAAAACAACAACAAAAAAAATAAAAAGCCCCACAAAATTGTGCCAGGCATACCAGTAGATGTCTGTAATTCCATTAAGCCAGAGGCTGAGGCAGGAAGATCACTATAAGTTCAAAGCCAGCTTGGGCTACATAGTAAGACCCTGTCATCAAAATAAAACAAAATCCCAAAACCAGTCAACCAACCAACCAACAAACCCCAAGACTGTACAGATGGATGAGAGTTCAATTCAATAACCAATTCTATTGTCCTTCTCCTTACCTATACTACTCAAACTGATTAACAGGTGAAGAATGAGAAGTCCTAATTATTTGTCCTTTTAACAACCCTCTACCTTGAACAGAAATCCAGTTGCAAAAAACAAGCAAACAAACAAAAAGAAATCCAGTTGCTACCCTACTACTGTATCACAAGTATCTGAACTTTCAGAGTGAGAAAACAGAGACTTGATAATTGGTGTAAGAGCCTGGTCTTAGCCCAGCATAAAAACACACCTGTCATCCTAGCTCTTGGAAAGCTGAGGGAGAAGTACAAGTTCAAGCCTATTTTGGGCTACACAGTAACACCCTAACCCTAAAAATCCAAAAAGAGAAAGACAGGTAGACAAAAATAAGGAATGACAAAAATAAAGAGAAAAGAAAGAAAGAAGACCAAAAGTCCTAGTCTCCTCAGGGCTTCTGTTCCTTTAATTGTATAAAAAAGAAAAGCAAGCAACAGGAATAAGGGAATAAAGACCAGATTGACCTTACAACCTTTTTACTCTGGCATGCTAAGGAACTTATTAAACAAAATATTGGAGGTCAAGGGGACTATGGATCTAATGGCATAAAAGCTAAAATTAGTGCCAGGCATGGTGGTGCATGCCTGTAATCCCAGCATTCAGAAGGCTGAGGC